CCACAACCGGGAATTATATCTCGTAAGACTGCGATCAAGAATATTTGAAATAGTGTCGGGGCCAGAGGACATCCCCATCACACCCCACAGTAAACATGAGGAAATGGCTCTGACACCCGGCCATGCAGCGTTACGTGGGCCTGCCCACCATCATGGTCTTTAATGGTCGTGAACAGAGTCAGGGACCCTAAATAACACGAAGAATAATCCAAGACCATAGCCTCTTAATGGTAATGCAGGCCTCCAGCAGGTGAAGAGAGCTTCCTGATGCGTTTGTGCGTTTTTCACCGTTGCGGTGCCCAGCCGTGGCATTTTGGTGATGCTTTTGTTTTCCATTTGTGGAGGCAATTGTTCGTGCCATGGCCAGGTTGGATCCGGTGTACGGTGGCCCCCCACTGCTCGCGGTGGTGGGGGGCCAGCGAGCTTCTTGATGGTTTGATCCACGATGAGGCACTTCTTGGGGATGTTTGAGTTCTCCCAATTGTTTATCCACTCATTCGTACCGGTTGTGTGGACAGAAGCCGGAGGGATTTAAGAAAAGTCCACATTGATTAAAATGGCCACGATAAATCGAACCGGCGACTTCTATATTGTGTACCAACCATTACATCATGGCAACATCCTGTGATGTCACGTTTATAAGGGTGGGGGGAAATAACAACCAGGGTACTAGGTGTTAGTGTGTTTGAGGACGCAAGTTTCAAATACAATTATTTTTATCTTGTCCTCTTCCCCCCCGACTGGGGTTAAAACAATCAACAATTGAGGAAAGGGTTGGTGGGACGTGTGCAGAGATCGCCAGTAATCCCAGGTGGACTCCCGCTCGCTGCACAAACGCCTCCTGTGGAATCCATCCAGCAGTTTGTCGACGGAAACGATGATGGTAGGCGACCATGGTTTTTGGAGATCGTAGCCGGGGCCGGAGCGGCAACAGTGATGAAGGAAGGGGGGGGGAGCGAGTGGCGGGGGCAGAACGGAAGGGGAGATGAGCGGTATCATTGGTGACGCGCGAACGCGCCCCAAACCGTTTGCGATCAGTCATGTCCATGGGTGGGACGGTGCTCGCGTCCACTTCCATGAAGGTGTCCTGCAGACACCTGAGAGTGGGCGCACACATGCACAAGAGAGAAGCCAATGTAACAATCCAGTTTGTCAACCAGGTATCTAGGCCCAGCCTGGATGCCCACGGCAGCCTCAGTGGGCGACCCCTGCCCCAAGTGGGCCACGCAGGCCCCTTAAACTGTGCCACTTGGCCCACTTTCCTATGGGAGCTGCTCGCTTTGATGTTGGCCGACCTTGGAAACGGTCGTGATGTCACGGAGTCAATGCAAAAGAGAGGCAATCGTCAAGTTAGTGCTGATTAAGGTGAAGTTTATGGCAATAAATGTAAAAAAACAGATTCCAGCTGGGTATATGTGTAAGTCATCTCAACCACGTTAATAATAATTGAAAAATAAATATTGTCGCTTTCATCTGGCTGTGGGCAAAAGGGATTAAAGCAGAAGAGTTGTGTGTGATTCTTTCCGTGATTCTGCATAGAATTGTTCTGCGAATGAGATCTGAATCTCGGTTATCTATCATAAGCACACTAATCACTAATCCAGCACATAATCAATAAGCGTTAAATCGAAGATAATTGTATCCTTATTGAAAATACGGAATTTTAAATAACAAGTCGAGTCGACTCTCTCATTCACGCTCACAATACCTGCACAACTGCATACGATTAATTGCGTTGTTCCAATTAATAACCAACCTTCGTCACCGAGGCTGGACCTAATTATCATAACGACCTGCATCATCATAACCACGCCCACTCGCATAAATTAATACGATTATCTCTCGAATTGGCATAGTTTATGCACATAATTACACCAATTAATTCAGATAAATTATTTAAATTTCAAATTTAATCAAATTTTCATTATTTTCATCAAATTTTCATAACCTACATATACAACAACCTTCGAGCACCCATATCTCACAGAGCGGGCCCTAACCTATAACAGCTGGCAGTTCACCAGCATTGCTTCAAGTGAGCTGGAGCGTGCTGATAAATTTAAAAACCGGACCAGAGCTTGGTTTATGTACAACCAATACTGCTGAAATGATGCACTCCCAGAAGGAAAGCCGTGTGGCTAATAGGATGTGTACAAATACTTGTATTTTTTAAGTGGAAAGACAGATATGTGAAGGAAGGGAATCAGCGTTTGCGTGTTAATTTTGTTACTCGTCCACGATGTAAGCCAATTATTATATTGAAACTTCGCAGAGCTTTCATGAGTAAGAAAGTTGTACCAACAATAATTATTATCGGTTCTATTGCAATCGAGGGCTGCACGTTTCAACGGGCACACATGTGTCATGCTGCGATGGTGACGGTGCTCCCGGTTTTTTAAGACCGGGAGGAAGTGAGGGCTTCACCTTTCTGGCAAATTGCCCGATGATGCTGGATGTAATTACCAGCGAAACGTCGTACTCAAAAATTGTAAATGTTGTGGATTCACTCTTCAACACACCGGTGGGCTGAAGGAGTGATCTATTTCTCTTTTGTCAATGTGACACATTTTTTACTGATTGGCCGTGTCGGGTAGTGGAGGGTTACGACACATTTATGAGTAATGCGATCTAACCCAAAAACGTTTATTATGAATAATATTGGTCGTGAAAGCCTACGGCCTTTCTGGCCGTGATTTTTATTTCAGCAGCATTGGTTCAACACGAGCAAACGTCAGAATGGTTTTCAGCTTTGCAAAGCTCATGATGACTTTTTGTGAAGTATTCCACAGTTTTGCATAGAACTAGGACCTGTAACGAACAGAGAGCATCCTTGCCTGCAAATATCTGGCAGTTCACCAGCGTTTATTTTTTGTACGGCAAGTGAGCTGTGACGTCAAATCTGTCACGTGACCCGCACATGTGGAAGCGTAACGCATTGTCGTGTAGTGGTTAGCGCGCTGCGCTACGAATCCGGCAACCCGAGTTCGATTCCCGCTCACGGCCACTACCAGTGGCGATTATTTTAACCGGTCCTGGGCCTCCCCTACGTCGACTCAGCCTCAAAACGAGTAACTGCTGTGGTGTGTAAACATCGCCACTGGGGAGACAAAGGCGGCCGGGCGTGGTGGATCCAAGTCCCAGGAGAAGCTGGGTAGTACAGCTAGTGTATTATATGCGCGAGTACTAAAGCTGGAACGATTCGATTACCAAGTCGATTATAACCGATTCCTTGTGTATGGTCAATTACTCAGACCCCTTTAAAAATGACAGCCATCCCCACATCTTACTTCCTGTGACGCGGCTGATGTGATCAAGTCCCTCCCATCAGGTGGGACAACCACAGCAAGAAAAAACTGCTGAAGTAGGCGAGAGATCTGCCGTGGCACGAGGTTATATAGGCCTCGGCAGTAGGGGGGAGAGAGAAGGGGGGGGGGGAAGGAGGCGGGGCAGAAAGTGGACCCCGCAGCAGCACCCGGGTCACTGGAGTAAAGTGGGCCACCACTCATTGATCCGTACATTTAACTCGATGAGTCGATTCGATTCCGTGCCCCGTTGGGTCCTCCCCCCTTTTGTGCTTTTGGGTGTGCTGGGTTTCAACATAATTCCCGATCCATTGTGAATCTTCCCTTCCCCCATTTCAGCACTCCGATCTACATCCGACAGGAGATGATAAACCGCAGGGAGGGGGAGTAAAACCTAATCGCCAGGTAATTGGAAAAGTCGCCCATTGTCTCGCGGATTTGCATGATTGTACGATGGATGGGGCAGAGGAACGTGCTACAGGGACACGCCCTGAGGAATGCAGGCATCGGCCTTTGGATGAAAAACTATTTTTCAGTAATTCAGTGGGCAGTGCTCTCACTGGCAGCTCATTCTCAATTAATGAGGGTGATTCACCACGTGTTTGTGCCACATTTTGTATCTGAGTTGAGTCCATTTGTGTTTCCTTTCCTGTTTCTCTACTCCCTCCTGGTATAACCGGGTGGGGGTATCGAAGGGGGAATGGGCAGATTGTGTTTAACCTTGAGTTTGTCGTGGCATGGGGTGCTGGTATGATTCCGCTCTTGGCTTCCACACCCTGAAATTCCAATAATTACCTGTCTTTGTGCGCTGTGGTTGCCTCGGATTGGTGTGCCACTCTCTCGCTGGATTGTTACCTTGCCATCTCTGCGTGTAATTATGTTGGTAGTTCGTGGGTGCTTGCTCCTCTCTGAAAAAAAAAATTCCGCAGACTACCTACTGGATCTCCTCTCTGTTTCAAAGAACAAATTTGACCTCAGGTCTTCGCTCATTTACCAGCTTCACATTCCCTATTGCCGTACAAAAACTGGAGGAAGGGCCTTTGCTATTGATGCCCCCAGGGTCTGGAGTGCTATTGCCAGTAAACTGCAACTTGAATCACTACCTATGAGATCTTCACTCAAAACTGCTCTAGAGGAGTTGTACAACCCTAGCTGCCACTGCTATTCAGTGGCCTAAAATATGGCTCTAGATTTTGGTGTTATAATTTATTTATGTAGTTTATTGTTAAAAATTCGGTCACAGTCCCTATGATCACTTACATTGGATTTATGGTTTTTATTTTGGTGATTTCGAAAAGTTTTTTTTTGTTTTGGCCATGTTTTTGTTTATTGTAGTACGGAGTTAGACTGATGGCTTTAATCTTAGTTGTCTTGTGGTTGTTGTTGTTATTTGACTTGCATCCCACTGGGATTTTTGCACACAGCGTTGGTGTGCGGTGCTATTTCAGGAATATTTTGATATTTTTTTCCTGTATTTTCTGTTTGCACAGTCACATAATCACTTTAAGATGTTTTCTTGTTCATGTTTTTTTGTTTGTTGCGGTTGCACCCGATTCAAGAGCGAATGGCTCACAGGGCTATACCAAATAAATGAACTATGAACTAACTAACTCTGTATTGTGGGGCTTGGTGTGAGGTGCTGTAGCTGCTCACGTGATTTTTACTTCCCTCTAGATGGCGGGGTGCATTATCTCTCACCCTGTGTTTTGTCCGAATTATGGCTCCTAATTCTATATAGCCATGCCGTGTGAACCCTATTCTGTATGTGGTGTAAGGAGGCCGTCTCTGGGTCCAAAACCATACCCACAATTTCTGTAATCTCTGGACTCAAGGATTAAAAAAACAATCTTGAACATTTTGTCACCTTCGTGGTATTGATCAACATCACCTGCGTAATACACTCCTCGTTTACGCACTGGGTCATACATTTGGCAGCATTAAACCCCTCAGTGTTGAATATTCTCCAAACTTCGTAATCACTGTTAGGCTGAGTTGTTTGAAATAATTCCTAACCTTGTATGGTAGCGACTTTACCCATGGTATAGAATATTCATGTAACCTTCTTTTCAGCACTTGTTTTCTCGTCCAACTTCCTCAGACCTCTGATCATTGCCTCCACTTCGACTGTTGTGATATGAGTGTATGTCTCTGTTCCTATTGTGTGGATCAAAATAGGGGATTCTGACGAGAGCTTTCTCCGTCAATTTAAGAGTCTTACTACTGAATGAGTATTCGGAAAGTTGGTCGTTGTGAGAGGAGTCAGTGTCAGATGAGCTATCACTCAAACTTTGCCGCTGCTTAACATAACTTCTGTAATGTATTTTGCGCCTGTGTTGTGGGTATGAACGTAGAGCGATACTTCTCCTGGAGGCAATGCGTTTATTACAATAAACGATAACAACACCAATCGCCGTAACACGACTGGTGTCTGTTAAAAACACTGCTGCAGTCAATCACAGTTGGTTTTGAGTGATTACATTGGGGTGGGGGGGGGGATGGCAAGTGATGGGTGATGGGAGGAGACAAGGGACGCAACGTGACCGTCCATGTACGAGGATAAGAGTTGCCATCTGTGACGTACACAACCTGGGGACACATCATGGGAAGAAGGATCTCTCAAAACCCGAAGAGGGGAGAACTACATGGAAACGCATTGTCTTAAGCAATGAATTAGCACAAGGGGACGAACAGGGGTTGGAGTCATGTTCTTCGTATGGTCGACGTTTATGTAGAGCAACTACTATATATGAGATTGAGGTGGTTGAGCCAGATCATTGTGTAAGAAGTAGAGTTGGTGCATCGCTGTGATGATGCCTCCGAATTTGTGAATTGGACATTGAGTTTTCATATATTCCATAGTCTATTCAGGCTTGGAGTTAGGAATAGGGCTACAGATTTGCTGCAGAAATATTTTTCAGAGAGTCAGTGTTTGGCACTACATGTAGGGCAGTTCCACATATTAGGCAAACATCACAATTTCAGCATCATCTTAATTTTATATATTTATATGGGATATAATATAGAAGGTAATTATTGCTTTAGAAATGACATTATTCACACAGATGATTTCTATCTGAATCTCTTGGTTGAAATACTTTGCCCAAGGTAAGATAACTGTGCGATTATGGTAATGAGTATCCACGTCCGTCTGAGACCGTGGAACTGCCCTCCAGCACTGCCGCTCACATCAGGGGACGTAGGAACGACTATGGTTGCTGGCTTCACCGTGGCCAACTAGTTTATTGATGGGCATCTCCTTGCCATCCTCCTAAATTTCCACCACCATCACCACCTCCACAACCTTGTGCTTGTCGCCCCCAACTCAAGCTCAGTGCAAACCCCTTGGAGGGCTGGCATAACCCAAGGGACACAGAACTCTGCCTCACATTTGGTTTCTAGAAGCTCCGCAACAGCCACACTGTGGATGTAGACAGCCCTTAGCGTTATAAATGTGAGCCACTCGCGTGTCCCAAACACTCAAAAGAATTGAGACGAGGCGATAGTATTAGATACAAATATTTATTATTAAAACGCGACGCCTTGTAAGGAAGGGGGGGGTGCTGGTGGGGTTGGGTGGTGCTGGAAGTGTGGGGGGCTGTGAGATGCTCAGAGGGTGTTCGAGGCCTGGGGGGGCAGGTCTTGGGAGGCTTCTTGAATGCCGGGCTCCAGTGAGCAGCCAGAGATGTCCTCTTCCTCCTCAACCGTGACAAGCTGTGGACATACTGACCCATTAGACACTACACACAACTCGGTACTTCTACCAGCTCAACTGGGATTACACACAACAATCAGCACCCCCTACTGGCAGACAAATGCCAATTGCACACCAGGTGCTGAGTCACCTTGTGCCCACAGGGACATCTGTCATTGGGGGTGCCCTTTCACACGTGTTGAGATGAGATGTGATGTAAAGCGCTCTGAGATGCCCCGGTGTACAGAAAGGTGCTAAATCATTCTCATCGTTATCACTGTGTCCAGCAATAATGAAATTGTCTATAGATAGATAATCTGTATTTGTAAACGGGGACCATGACGGCTTAACATGATGGTTAGACCAGCTCATCATTATCATAATACACTGAATCGTGTGTGCATGAATCTATTATTTACGTTAAACGCAAATTATATACGTGTGTGTGTGTGATGCGCGAGTGCTGTGCACTCACCTCCACCTCGCTCTGCAGACGCTGCTGCTCCGAGTGTTCATTCTGCTCGTTGTCGCGGTAGGGCGCCAGCTCAGCGTGCAGCTCCGCCACTACACGTTGATACCACTGAATCTCTGCCTGCAGAGATTCCAGTTGCCAATTTCTGTCAATGAGCTGCGTGGGCCACGGGCAAATGGCGGCAGAGGGACACAGGAAAGCATTTTAACGACTGCGTGAGGTTATTGCAGAACATACAGGTATAATAACACACACACAACCAAGATCTTCATTTATAATTGAGTAATATAATGAGCTACGAAGCTCTTTACACAGATGTCCATACACCACCTTTGACCAAATAAACCGAAATGCATCCAATCATCTCAGATCTTGGAAGAAAAGCATGGTTGAACCTCAAGTGCTTGGATGGGCAACCACCATCAATACAAACCAAGATAACACCTATAAAAGCATGATGAAGACCGCTTGTGTTGCAATCGAAACGTCGTGGGTTTTTTTATGTTATTAAAAAAAAGTACGTGACTTTACCGAAAGAATCAAGAAATATGAATTCCTGCAGTCACGAAAGTTTTATGTTAAACATTTTTTAGGAATTAATTAACCCAAAATCTGGATTAAAATAATAGATTAAGATCGCTTCCCAACCAAAAAGAGGGAGGGGATGGAGATGCATGTAGCAGAGGGGATCAGATGGTCTAGTAGTCGTAGGTACTTCTACTAGAGGTGGGATGGTGGATCGTAACGTGGTACAGTCCCTAAACAGAGAATTCTCAGTAACCTAGTGCGCATCCATTCTGTACAACCATCAGTGTGAAAAATAAGTGTATACATACAGTCCTCGACTTAGGAACACCATACTTACGGAGACCCGACTTACGGATACCCGAATTCCGAATCTGTTTCTATGAAATGTATTAATTTTTGGTTACCATTGACTTTAAAACGCGAACTTGCACTTCCAAACTGAACCACAGAACTATTTTGTTCAGTGCTGCGATCCTCCACGAGATGTCATGAGTCAGCCTCGTGCACGCGCCCATGTGCGCATATGTGAAAGTGATTGTGTGGGGAGCGGTAGTGTTGCAGTTCACGCGCTGCGCTACAAACCCACCGACCCAAGTTCAATTCCAACTCACGGCCAACACCAGTGACGATTATCTGAACCATTCCTGGGCCTCCCGTAGGTCAACTCGGCCTCAAATGAGCACCTAGCGCGCTGTATAAACATCACCACTCGGGACACAAATGCAGCTGGGTGTGGTGCTGGCACACAACCCCTCGCATGCCGTGCTGGCTTTCATAGGCTATCGCTAACAGCACGTGCCCCAACAGCCTATTAAAGCTACACGGTGGATCTTTGTGCGGATCGGAAGTGTAGCGGTGAGCACGCTTGTGATTTGAAAGCGGTGAGTGAAAATAAAAAATATTTTTACTACATTTTATGTATTACTTACGATACACTATATTTTTAGTGTTAATGCAAATGTACATGATTTCTTATTTACGAGTTTAACTCTTTTGTTGAACCTTAACACATTTTATAACACTGACAATATGGGAATTTAAATATCGCACATTATTGTATTCCGACTTACGAACCGTTCCGACTTATGAATGGGCCTCAGGAACTAAATGCGTTCGTAAGTAGAGGACTGCCATATTATTGATACATTTGTCTATTATACTATGTGTATTATTAGTTGTTTATCATGTAAAATTAGTTTACACTTGAAAAATATTCACCATAAATCCGGTATGTGGGGAAAAAATATTGATAGAGTATGTGTAGTGGCATAGCGCTGGCTGCTGGTAAAAAAGGGTAACTGCGGTGTATGGTAGTACCCACGTCAGCAGGCCACGATAGACACGAGAGGGGGACATCTAGAGGAAAGGTCACAGAGGGGGGGCCATCGGGAACCCGCTAGTAGGTTCCAGAGAGGGGGCGTGGCCGTGGCGGAGCGAGGCCACGCTGAGAGTATAAGAAGGGCCCCTGTGAGGGACCTTGTGGCTGTTGCTGGAAGTGGGATCCTCGTCGTGCTGTTCGTATATATAAGATAGTCGTCGTCACCATCTCGTCATCGTCGTTTTCGTCTCGTCGCTGTCGTCTTGTCGCCATCGTCGCTGCCGTCTTCACTCGATATTACGCTGCTAGATAGGTGTTCGCTGTCTCCGTTCAGTGCTGTCAGTGTTAGATGGTTAGTGTTGTGTATAGGCAAGCAACGGTAATAGTGTGTACCCACGTAGGGTGTCTGTATTATCCCAATGGTGCTCGTTAAATAAAAGAAGCGCCTAAAAGTCTTACTGTCTCTGAGTTAGTCACTACACATGTACACATGAAAGTGACTACTGTAGTCAGAGATGCAAACGCTTGGGCGTCATCTGGTGCCTTACTGTCGGTGGGTCTTTATAGTAAAGTTCGTAAATCTCAAGTATGCTATGGCAAGGTACCACAGTACATAACATGTGATTGGCTATCAATGACTTGAGTACGTTAATAGTGAAAGTACGTACAACGGGAGGGCGTAAATAATGGTATTACTGTATATATGTGCGTTTGTGCCATGCCGGACTTCATAGGTGCTCGCTAACAGCACTTGCTCACCTTCGCCTCACTCTGCTGGTGCAGCACTTGCAGATCCTGGAGCTGACAGTGAATGCTCTGCAGGTTTTCTTGGCATGGCGCCAGCTCAGCGTGCAGCTCTGCCACCACACGCTGGTAACCCAAAATCCCCACCTGCAGGGATCCCAGATGCTCATTCTTTTCGATGAGCTGCATGGGCCACGGACAAACGGCAGCAGAAGGACATGGCTAAGCATTTTAACGACTGCGTGCAGTTGTTAAAGAACATACAAATCCAACAAACACATACAGAACCAGTATCTTTATTTTAAATGAAGGAATCTGATAAGCTATGAAACTCTTTTTCACAGATGTCCATACACCACACCACCTATGACCAAATGACCCGGAATGCACCCAATATTATAAGATCTTGGAAGAAAAGCAGGGTTGAACTTTGATGGTACTTGGATGGGTGACCACCATCCATACAACCCAAGATAACACCTATAAAAGACCAGATATATGGATTGACCCAAAAGCTACTTTAAAATGTCCGATTATAATTGCTTCCCAACCAAAAATAGGGAGGGGATGGAGATGCACGTAGCAGAGGGGAGCAGATGTTCTAGTAGTAGTAGGTACTTTTACTAGAGGTGGGATGGTGGATTGTAATGTGGTACAGTCCCTAAACAGAGGATGCTCAGTAACCCAGTGCGCATATACACATCTGTGTGAAAAATAAGTGTATATATAGGCAGTCCTCAACTTACAAACACCTGCACTTACGAACCTGCTTCCATCAAATATATTTTATAACATTGACTTTAAACGCGAACTCGCACTTGAAAATTGAACCGCGTCACTATTTTGTTCAGTGGAGCAATCCTCCGCGACATGTAATAATTCAGGATGGCGCTTGGAGCAAGTGTTTGCCTATAAGTGTGTGTGTGTGCACGCGCACGTGTCTATGTGTATGAAAGTGAATGTGTGGGGAGCGGTAGTGTAGCGATTAGCCTTCGAAAGCGGTGACCCGAGTTCGATTCCCGTTCATGACCAACACCAGTGACGATTATGTGAACCGGTCCTGGGCGTCCCCTAGATCGACCCAGCCTCAAATGAGTACCTGGTGCGATGTGTAAACACCACCACTGGAGAGACAAAGGCAGCGAGGCATGGTGCTGGCCAATCACCCCCTTGTGTGCCATGCCGGCCTTCATAGGTGCTGCTCACTAACAGTACTTTCCCCAACAGTCTATTAAGGCTATACGGGGAGTCTTTGTCTGCGACGTGCGAATGCAGTGTACTCACCTCCGCCTCGCTCTGCTGGCGCAGCATGTCCAAATGCTGCAGCTGTGAGCGTCCGATCTGTGCGTTTTCGCGGTACTGCTCCAGCTCTGTGTGCAGCTCGGCCAGCATACGCTGATACCAAAGAATCCCCGCATGCAGGAATCCCAGCTCCTGGCTCCTCTCGAACAGCTGCTTGGGCCACAGGCAGAGGGACAGAGAAAAGCATTTTAACGACTGTGTGCGGTTATTGTAGAACATACAGATGCAACAACAGACACATTTAGAACCAGAATCTTTATTCATATTGGAGGAGTCTGATGAGCTGTGAAAATATTTTTCACAGATGTCCATACCCCATGTTTGACCAAATCACCCAGGATGCACCCAATCTTGTCAGACCATCATGCACACAACCCATGATTACGCCTATAAAAGCCCACATATATGGATTAAGTAACCCAAAATCTGCAGTAAAAGGTCAGATTAAAATCGCTTCCCAAACCAGGACAGGGAGGGCATGGACATGCACGTAGCAGAGGGGAGCAGATGGTCAGACCCTACACAGCCTGACGACTCAAGTGCTGTGTCACGGTCAGACCTGGGCCGTTCCGGGGCCAGGAGAGCCTGGGTTCTCAGCGGCCGTGGGAACGAGGCTGGGAGCATTACCTGACGCAGAGTGTCCTCATTCTCAGCTTGGGACGTGGTCAGCTGATCCTGCAGCGCCGACAGTCCCTGTTGGGGGGTGGAGAGCTCCGGCTGGGCACTGGTGCGCTCCGCCTCACTCGCTGCGAGCTCCTCCTTGCTCGCCTTGAGCTCCTCCCTCAGCCGAGTGATTGTGTCCTCGTCCTCCTGAGCCTTAATACAGGCAACGTTCGTTTTACCATCGTAATCATCACCATTATCATCATGAATAGCCATGATCCGTCCACCGCTGAATGTGTTTTTGTGATACTGCTGGATGAAAGTTTCCCTGAGCCATACCGGTCATGGGAATTAATTGATCATACTTCATCACACTGGTCAGCACGAAGTGGTACACCCAAGACTGGGTCAGATTTCACTGGCCACCAATGCTAGCCATGGTTGGTAATCAAACTCGGACAGCTTGGTTCAGAGTGCAGAAGGCTCATCACAGTAAATTAATACGTTGTATATCATCATAAATATTTCGCCGCACAAGGGTCTCCTCCTCTTGTGAACGCTGCCACAAATGTCTTAAAACTCAAACTTTCATTATCTTTATTTTACCAGCTAAGGCCTACTGAACTATATAGCTCTTTTTCAGAAGCGACCTGCCCACAAATGAAAGTTCAACGAAATGGCTTATCATGTGGAAATGTATTGCAGCTATAGAATCTAAACGCACGTTTCTAAATGTGGAGGAAGAACCGGAGGACCCGGAAAAAATCCACGTGACCACAGGGAGAACATGCAAACTCCAAATATACAGGTGTCGGGGTTGGGATCAAACCCACAACCTCCTGCATACAGGCGAGGTAGTTAACATCTCGCCACCGTGGCGCCCCTCTTCAGTGCCAATCGCGGCTTCACCACGCGTGCCCTTGCGAGCCGATACCTTCTTGGAGTTGCGCTCGAACTGCTTAAAAGCATCGGTGAGGGTGAGCCGGACCTCCTCCAGCCCTGTCGCCAGCTCGCAGGCCTCTTTCCGGTGCGCGTCCTGCTGCTGCGCCTTCTCCATCCCAAGTGCCTGGACGTGCCCCTCCGACTCCTTCAGCTACAGGCACGCACACGTTCCACAATGTTGGATTCATGTCTGGGGAAGTATACTGAATATGGTGTGCAGAATGTGGAAATATTTTCTGGGTTGGAAAAGACCCAGCTGTAATTAAGCCTGGCTTGCAAACAGATAAATAATTACCACTTAAGTCATTTAAACTCTGTGGTGTGCATATAGCTGTGTGTCTGCAAGCCTATATTGTTTCTCTAACAAATGCAAGCCGATCACATTTTAGAAAAAGTCCTGTAAACTGCAGCTGACTTTATAATTAAATTGTATTTATTCTAACTGAAAGTATTAAAATGTGAGAAAATACATTCGCAACTCTGAATTATGACAAATTATGAGAGGGAGTGAATTAGTTAAAGGCCTAGTCAGGGATTGCCTTGTCTAGTGTAATTACCTCATCCAACATTCACCTATCTGCAGACAAAATTAAGAGCCATGAGGGGAGGACCGATCCTGTGGTCACAATTATACCTTTTGCCATATAGAAATGCATTATCATACTACATTCGAAAAAAAACATTCTGGCTGTCTGCCTTCCTGGCTGCATCCATATTACTTATGTAGTGGGTTCCAGGACACGGAGACGGCAGAATAGAAGCAGCACTATTTATTTAAACCTTAACAAGGGTTACACTAGAAGGGGTAGCGGCCCCTCCACCCGTATAACTCAGGAACACACCCCAGGCTCTCTAGCCTAAGCTCTAGGCTCCCAGTTCCTCCTGGTAGGGCTCTAAGGGAGGCTATCAGATCCGGCCCTGGTTAGGCACAGATCTCGGCACCCCGCCGACCAGACCGGCCCTTAGAAGGACTCTGACTCTGGGGCTCTGGGGCCGCACCACTGGCTTGCTGTGCCGGCCCTGAAAAGGGCAGCGGTCACAGGAGTTCCAGGGTCTCACCTAGCTGGCCTTCTTTCTTCACTGGTTGCTTCAGCCTCGGGCCCCACACTCTCCCCCCAGCTCCCTGGCTCCCCGCACTTTATACCCACTGGAGCCTTAGCGGACGTTGTTGTAGCCACCAAGGTGTGGGTGAACCACACCTTCCCGTGTCATGTGTTTATTCCCCATAGCACCCCTACATCACCCCCTCCCGTGTAACCCGCAGCCGTCCCGGCTGCAACAATACTCGAACAATAAACACAACAAACCCTCACCCGTGCGTGCCTCATAAGAACGAACACCCCAATAAATAACCCAACCCACCTATACAAAATTTCACTATATACACATATACATTGTACCCGCCCCCCCCATCAACGCAGCAAGAAAACTTAACAGTGAACAACAAGAGTAACAAGAACCATTTTTACAACAAGCGGCGCATTTTGGCGCGAGTCCGATTTGCGGGTCCATCGTAGGGGGAGGGTCCGGTCGGCCCGGCAGTGGGCACCGGCTGTGCAGGTGCACCGTCTTCCGTCACCCCGGAAGGGCAAACTCCGTCCCCACCGGGTGGCGCAGGCGCGCTGGAAGCCGTCATTCTTGAGGCGCCTGAAGGTGGAACAGTTAGTGAAGCATCAAGGGCAGGTGACGAAGACGCCGTCCGGGAGTCAGCGGAGACATCACATGCTCGGCCTGTGTAATGTGGTGGAGGGACGCGCGGCGCCACAAACGGCTTCAGACGCGAGGGGTGTACGTACCAGCGGCGTTTCCCCCACTGGATGCGAACGCACTGCGGCCGCATAACCTTCACAATAACCACAGGGCCCCTCCAAGGCCGCAACAATTTCGCCGAGGTCGCCAACGGCACCTGAGGGCAGTGCAGCCAGGCTTGATCGCCTGGCTTCCACGCATGTGTGCGTGATTGGCGCGATCGCAACCTCTCGTTGGCCTTCTGCCGAGAGGAAGAGTTTTGGGCCGCTGCCTCCCGCGCCTCGGTCAACCTCAGGATATTAAATTTAACGTGGTCGGCCAATTTCGATTTTCTGCTGGTTTCCGAGACGCGGAGCTGATTCGCAATTGGTGGGTCAACGTCGCGACCGTACATCAAAAAGAACGGCGAGAAGCCGGTTGCCGCGTGAGGAGCCATTCTATAGGCGGCCAAAACCCCCGGAATGTGAAGGTCCCAATCGGTCTGGGAGTCACACACCTGGTGACACAACATAGATGTGAGCGTCCTATGCAGCCGCTCCACCATGCCATCGGTTTGTGGGTGATAGGGGGAAGTGCGAATCTTTTTCGTACCAAGAAGCGCACACACCTCGTGCAGAAGGACGCCAGAGAAGTTCTTCCCTTGGTCAGTCAGCAGCCGTTCGGGAGCACCCTTGTCGAGGACATAGCCCTGGACAAAGGCCTCGGCAACGGCTGCTGCTGACTGGTTAGCAAGAGGCCATGCCATAGGCCATCGGGTGAAATATTCCACGCCAACCAGCAGGTACTTGTTACCCCTAGGGGTCGCAGGGAAGGGCCCCAATATATCGAGTGCGACGAGTTCGTTAACCCGAGAGACCGTGATAGATTGTAGCGGTGGGCAGGCGCCTTTCGCTGGTGGTTTTCGTTGGGCGCACTGAGTGCATGCACCCAGGAGGTCATCCACATCCCTTGCCATACCCGGCCAGAAGAAATCCAGCTGGAGCACGGCAAGGGTCTTGTGGGTCCCCAGGTGCAAAAGTCGCTCGTGTGCGGCCCAAACGGCCTTACCCCGCAAAGCGGATGGCACCACAAGCCTGTGACGGCAGGCCCTCCCATCCCAATGCATTAGGAGCCCCTGGAGCAGCCCGTATGAATCAATCCCCGCGACCCCCCGCACGGAACCCCCTGCGCGACGACGCAACGCGAGGAGGGATGCGTCCTCCATCTGGAGGCGCCCCCATTCAGCAACGGACAACCCCAGCAAGGAGTCCGCACCTCCCTCCCCGACAGGACCCTCAGGCAAGGGGTCCTCAGTGGCAGCAGCGAGAACCGGGATATCTAAGGGGGGGCTATCCTCTGGCGGCTTACAACGCCCCGATCCCCTGAGACAAGCGCAATCTGAGGCGGGCGGCAGGCGAGACAGCGCATCCGCATTAGTGTGCCGAGCACCCTTCCGATATGTGGTCGTGAAATCATAATCCTGAAGGATTTCGAGCCATCGGGACAATTGCCCCGAAGGCTGTGTCACCCGCAAGGCATATTGTAATGCCGCATGGTCCGTACGGACAGTGAAATGCCGACCGTACAGGTATGGGCGATACTGTTGCATAAAAAATACAATAGCCAAGAGTTCCCGACGCGTGACGCAGTATCTCTGTTCCGCCGGAGACAAAACCCTACTGCCATAAGCCACGACGCGTTCCACACCACAGATCACCTGTGAGAGCACACCCCCAATGCCCGTATTGCTGGCGTCTGTATCGAGCAGGAAGGGTTCCGAAAAATCGGGGTAGCTCAATGGAGGGGCCCGCACGAGAGCGTCGCGAAGGGAACAAAAAGCGACCTCCTCCTCCTGGCCCCAGTGAAATTTCACTCCCTTCGCCGTCAGAGCGTGTAAGGGCTTAGCAATGGTCGCGAAATCCGCGACGAACCGCCGGTAATAAGACGCAAATCCAATGAAACTCCTGACCTCAGCCACCGAGGTGGGGGTTGGCCAGGAGTTGACACACTGCGTCTTTGCGGGATCGGTGGATATGCCCGAGCGGCTGACGATGTGCCCCAAATAGTGTACGGATTCCCGTAGCAGGTGGCACTTTTGCGGCTTAAATTTCAAATTCGCAGCACGCATTTTGAGGAACACGGCGCGCAAGCGCAAAAGGTGTTCGTCAAATGTCTTGCTGAACACGATGACGTCATCCAGATAGATCAAACAGACGTTCCACTGTAAGCCAGCCAAAACCAGTTCCATAAGGCGCTGAAATGTCGCCGGAGCGGAGTGTAATCCCATAGGTAACCGGTTAAATTGGAATAGGCCGTGTGGTGTGCGAAACGCAGTCTTTGGCTTGGACTCATCATCCAATGGGAGTTGCCAAAATCCGGATAACAAGTCCAACGTAGAAAAAAAACGTGCGCCAGCCAGAGCATCCAGAGATTCGTCCATCCGGGGAAGTGGATACGCGTCGGCCACGGAGATCTTATTAAGGCGGCGAAAATCCACACAGAATCGCAAGGACCCATCGTGCTTTTTGACAAGCACTATGGGTGCTCCCCATGGACTGGTGGAAGGGGCTATAATGTCTGCAGCCAGCATGTCATCCACTGCCAATTTGACATGATCTTTTTCGGCCGGACTTAACCGAAAAGGATTCTGGCGTACCGGGGCATTGTCACCCGTGTCAATGTGGTGACGCAACAATTTCGTGCACCCAATGTCATATTTGTGTTTACTAAAAACATCGGAAAATTCCGTCAGAAGGGTGCGTAGGCCGGCACGCTGGGAGTCGGACAGATCACTCGTGCCCGAACATAGTGTGTCCATCCAACTATCGTCCCCCTCAGAATGCGGTTGAGCCAGAGGATCGGTCCCCACATTACCCATAACCGTGTCTACCACGGGGACCGGTGTCGCGTGCGCGAGCACAGTTCCCTGAGGAACGACGGCCGTCTGTACGCCAACGTTAAGGACGAGGATAAACGGGTCATCGCTCCCCTTAACGAGCGTTTGAGCGGCCACCAGATCCAGCCCGTTTTCCCCAGCCCTCGAGGGCCCTAACAGAATTCCCTGGTCCAGAACACCGGGCACGAAAGGCCGACGCAAGCGAAGGGGCACGAGCATTTGCGCCCCGGGAGGTACACGCACCGTCCGAGTGACGAACGCTTGTATCGACGCGCACGCTGCCCTTGAGGTGACAGGGGAAGGCAGGAATGTTACCCGTCGGCCCGAGGGAAGCTCGATGCAACCCTGATCAATTAGAATTTTAATCGGCATTTTGCCCAAAAAGTCCGTCCCCAACAAGCACGGAACCGCCAGCGAGGACGAGACTAATATCGGCCCGGAGAGTTTGATATCGCCAATGCAAATTTGTGCTCGAATTTGGCCTATGATACCCAGCGAACCCCCGTTCGCTGCGTAACACGGAACGGTGACTGGGAGCAAGGGGCGGCTTTGAACGGGAAGAATATTATAAATCAAGTCTGACACAATGGTCGCCGAAGCTCCCGTATCGACGAGGATACGCACCTCGACCCCGTCAATGTGACCCGTGACCACGGACGAGCCTGCCGACGCAGCAACAATGCGGTGGGCCAATTCCGTCCACTGCCCCGGCCCGAGCACCCTCTCGACCCCGCCGCCACCCAACAAACCAATGGGCGTACCCCGAGGCCCGTACACCGAAACGCGCGAGGTGGGGACAGGTGTGTGCACAGGCCGAGCATGTGGGGTGCCGCGACTTGCCGGGTTGCGATGCGGAGGCCTGTAGGCTGGAGCGCCGTCCGACCGTCCCGGCTGTCGTTGACGAGGCGCCCGGCATTCCGCAGCCACGTGGCCCTTGCGGCCACAGTTGTAGCACGTGATGAGCGCCTTGGGGTGCTCCTGGCGATCCGGTGTGGTCCGAGCCGGCCTCCCTCCGGATCTCCACTCCACCGGGCGACCCGCCGCGAAGACCTCCTCGGAGGGGGGGATGGTCGGCGTCCCAGCGCACACCGCAGCTGCGCCCTTGGGGACGAGAGGTGATCGACGCTGCGCTATCAGGTGCGCGTGGATGTGTCTTGCTGCCCGCAAGGAGCACATGTCCGCGTCGTCCTCTGCGACGATGACGATCTGTAGCTCCTGGGCCAACGCCAGGAGCTTCTCCGTCACCATCGCGTCCACCCCTTCGCCGTCCATCCGCGGGAAAGCCGCTTTTGCGAGGGCCAGGAGAGCCGTGCGATACGCCAGCGGTGGCTCCTTCTGGCCCCTGCACCGCTCGTGGAAGAGTTTGCGGCAGTCCGACGATGGCCCGTAGACTATGGTGAGGACCTGGAGCGCCGACTGTAGCGTAGATCGCGTTGATCTGGGAGCTGTGATGAGCGTAGCAAGGGCGTCATCGTCCAGCATGGCCGGTAGCGCACTCAACGCCTCGTTGTCCGTCCAGCCGGCCATCTCTTGATGAGCGAGAAAGCGGCGTTGAAAGGCCCCCCAGTCGCCGCCGTCTGAAACGAACTCCTTCAACACCGGCAGGCGTTGTTGAAACGATGGCTTCGTCTCTGAGAGGTGCCGCGCGCCATTTCCGGCCTCTCCACCGGTGTCTGTGGGGCTGGGGACACCCATCGGCGGTCGCGCAGGTGATGACGATGCGCCCGCCGATTGGTCCTGACAGCGGGCGTCCGTTGGTGATGACGTCACCACCGCTGATTGGCCCACAGCGTCCACGTGGCGCTGCGACCCTCCAATCGCCGTGGCGGACACTGTCATGGCGGCAAATCCGAAATCTGGTGGCTGTGTTTCGGCGGGAATGGCCGTTGAACGGCGTTCGTCTCTCTGCCGCCTTTGCGCCCGCAGCCCCGCGCGGTTGATTTCCTCCAGCGTGGAAGCCGCGGCATACAGCAGCTCAGCCAGTCGAGAGTGAGCCGCCTGCAACCCGTCCTCCATCGGCGGCCACTCCTCCAGCGGCGGCTGCTGTTGGGGCGTCTGGGACATCCCAGGATCGTCGGCCGCGGCCTCTGGCGCAATCCCAGGCGAGCCGTCCTCCTCCTGGGGTTCCTGTGATCGGTTTGTACTCCTTGTGTCCATTTTAAGACCACTCCTGACACCAGTTGTAGTGGGTTCCAGGACACGGAGACGGCAGAATAGAAGCAGCACTATTTATTTAAACCTTAACAAGGGTTACACTAGAAGGGGTAGCGGCCCCTCCACCCGTATAACTCAGGAACACACCCCAGGCTCTCTAGCCTAAGCTCTAGGCTCCCAGTTCCTCCTGGTAGGGCTCTAAGGGAGGCTATCAGATCCGGCCCTGGTTAGGCACAGATCTCGGCACCCCGCCGACCAGACCGGCCCTTAGAAGGACTCTGACTCTGGGGCTCTGGGGCCGCACCACTGGCTTGCTGTGCCGGCCCTGAAAAGGGCAGCGGTCACAGGAGTTCCAGGGTCTCACCTAGCTGGCCTTCTTTCTTCACTGGTTGCTTCAGCCTCGGGCCCCACACTCTCCCCCCAGCTCCCTGGCTCCCCGCACTTTATACCCACTGGAGCCTTAGCGGACGTTGTTGTAGCCACCAAGGTGTGGGTGAACCACACCTTCCCGTGTCATGTGTTTATTCCCCATAGCACCCCTACACTTATATAACCACTTCAGGTTTCAGCCACCTGTGATTAAGCCAGGTTCACATGTGCAGTGAGTTAATGATCTCAGCCTGATCATCAATGACTTCACAGAAAAGCCCATGAAAACAATGTCGGCTTTACACTAAATCGAGCTAAGTTCCAGCTCTGAAAACCAAAGATCAGACTGTTTTGTGATGAACATTACTCATTACTCTCCATAGCAGGGCAGATATCAAAGTATTTCCTCCTATTGTGTGGGTACCAGAGGGGACTTAAATATTTCTCAGAAGTAGTTATGTGATTTATGCTTCTGCAAACCATTCTCTAACATGAAACTTGAACCATCTTCTTTGGTTCTTTCGGTAAAGTCACGTAGAATGAGAATAAAATAATAAATTGATAAAATAAAATAACACAATAATATTCTCACGACGTTTCGGCCACAACACAAGCGGCCTTCATCAGGTTGTTGTGGCCGAAACGTCGTGAGAATATTATTGTGTTATTTTATTTTATCAATTTATTATTGTATTCTCATTCTACGTGACTTTACCGAAAGAACCAAAGAAGATGAATCATTGCAGTCACGAAAGCTTTAAATCGAAATGAAACTTGAATTTGGAGCTTTCGTGACTGCAGGAATTATTCTTTGGTTTATTATTATTAATTTTATTATTTCTTATTTCTACGTGACTTTACCTAAAAAAACATTCTCTAACTATGCGATGGTGCACTGCTCAGGCGATGAGGACAGGCCTCATGCACACACATGGAGGTGGGGGGGCTGCCGCATAAGGCTCTGGTTACCTGGTGCTGCAGCCCGGCGAATCTGGCCGTGCATGCACTCCATCTCAGCATCCGTGTGCTGAAGTGTGTGCTGCAGCTGCACCACCTCCTGTGCCCTCGCGGCCTCCTCTGCCCTGGAGACTCCCAGCTCGGCCTTGAGAAAGTCCGTCTGTTGCTCCAGAGAATTGCCTGTCGGAAGGGACACAAAACCATGGCGATGAAGACAGTACAGCCACCAGTGGCAGCAGACAGAGAAGGAGCAGTAGCTCAGGAGGAAGAGTACCAGCAGCGGGAGTAGTAGCAGACAGAATAGGTCTGAGGTCCCTCAGACCTATTCACCAGCTTGCATGCAAACACAGGGTCCAGAATAATAATATATGCACAGGAAGGGCCTAGTGAGAGAGCAGTTAGTAAACCCAGTGCAGTCCTATGTTAGACAGCGGAAGTGGTCCACGTGGGAAATGAAGTAAAAACGAGGAATTACTCGTTTTAACTCGTAAAAAGAAGTTATTGGTGCACAGTGCTCGACAAAAATTAGTGTTCAATGGGTCCGTGGATTCAGAAAGATTTTGGAGCACAGGCCCCTACCCACCGGTCTCCTCGCAGCAAGCGTTAGCCTCCTGCAGTCGTTGCTGCAGCTCCAGTACTTCATGCCGCAGGTTGTCCACCTCGGTCTGCTGCACCTCTTGGTTGGTAAAGAGGTCGCGCATGTTCGCTCTCAGCTCCGCGGCCTCGGTGCCCAGCCGCTCGGTTTCAGTCCCGCGCTCTCGCGCCTCTTCCCGCGCCGCCACCAGGTCTGCCTCTGAGCGCCGCAGCAGCTCGTCACGCTCCTTCAGCGCCTGCGGGCGGAGACGGGCAGCATCTAAATTACACGTAATTACAACATGTAATTTGAATATATTAATAAATTGTTTAGCATTCATCCAAAATATTGAGAAAATAAGTGGGCTTGGGCAGGACACATTGCTGTTGCAAGAAGGGGGGTGGCTGTTGCGAGAGTGGAGGCCTCACCTTCTGGAGGACCGTGATGTGCACAACGTGAGCGTCGTACTCTGAATCGTCGTGCATATGTGATGCACGATATTCGGCCAGCTCTATGTATGCCAGATGCAGAGTCGCATCGTGCTCACGCCTCAGCTGCTCCTCGCGCTCGCCCCACCGCACTGCCTCCAACTCCACCTGCAGGCTGTTGATGGCCTGCGAGTGTGCCATTAGCTGCTCACGGGCAGAAGGGCACAGTGTCACAGGCACGTGCATGCATAGGTGGGCAGCCCTTCATCACAGACACATGCAGCGTGCAGATGAGGACAGGTACAGACATACAGACACACGGAGCATGTAGTTGTACAGAGAGATAAGAGACTATAGACATGGGCAGGAGGCACAAGAAAATAAATTACAGATGCAGAGACATACACACAAAGACACAAGCAAGTCATACAAATTTGGACACATTATGGAAAGACAGTGCATGTGGAGAGAGATGTACATAGCCAAAGGCAGAACATGCAGAGGGAGACAAGATAAGAATGCGGAGACACGGGCATTGAGTACAGAGACGCACATACAGGCGCCTCGCATGCAGACGGACGCACACGTGCAGTGGATGCTTTTCAAGATGAAAATAAGAAATTGAGATTCTATTGTAAACAAATCAAGAACTACAAAAATATGCAAGGTAAACACCTGTGGTCTTATTGAACATACCACAATCACGTTTAAAATATTTAGAATGATAATAGAAAGTCAAAAAATAGAACCATGATACATTGTATACATCAATCAACGATTGGTAAGCGTGCATACAACATGGCAACGTTCTTCATCATAAGATAATGAAGAAACTCGTTGCACCCAAATGTTCATCTTCAAATTGAGTCAATATTCAAAACAAATAACTCACAACGCCTCCTCACACCATGTCGGTCATGGGAATGTGTTTGACTATACTTCCCCATGCTGGTCAGCACCGTACAGATGTATTAATCAATAAAACATAATACATGCACATTATGTGGGGAGATGCTATGATACAAAAATTTAGTTTGATCTGCTTTTATCTTTCATTTTCAACATTATTGGGAATAAAACCATGGACCACTCGCTACAGTGAATTTAGCAAAATTTATTACGGAACCAAAATATAATGCGATGGGTTTTTTGTGCACTCATTTGCAACTAGGCTGAGACCACTATGCTTGAGAATCCGGTTTAATCACTGTGGTTGGGCAGCTGTAATCCACATTCAATCCTGGCATCTCAGCCATGCTGGCACAGCATGTCTGACCCCTGGGGCACCTAGCTACCTCCCAGAATGCACTCATTTAATGTGCCATTTCCTTGACGTTCAGATCGTAACTCTGAATAAAAACTCAACGCATGAATCAATAATGATGCACTTAATAGGGCAGAGCTTCTAAAAGGTGATGTTTCAGGCAATGGGCCTTCATCACATCAGAGAAGTCAAAGCAATATCCATTGCAGCGTTATTGACGAATATGTTGAGGTTTTGTTATCTCTGCTTGTGTGCCACGCAGCTTCACAACGTGAACACATTATTTGGGTCTTTCGGTAAGGCCATGTAGATACAAAAATAATAATAATAACAATATCACGACGTTTCGATCGCAACACAAGCAATCGTCATCAAGTGAAGGATATGGCAGGAGAGCTGCCGAGGCAGGAAAAAATATATGGCGGGAGCGCTGCTAAGGTAGGGAGTTAAAAAGGTTTGAGATGGGTGTAGCTCAAGGGTCAGTGGGCAGGGCTTGATGAAATTTGCATGTAAATGTAAGATCGGCGAAATCTTGACAAACGAAGTTTCACTTTAGCCGTGCTCCGTGTAACAAGGGGACAGGGGGGTTGGTGGTGGCCACAGTACCTCCTCAGCATGGTTTTTCTTGAGTTGGTGCAGCATCTCGATGGAGACTCTTCTCTGTCTGGCTCAGTGCGCCACGCAGGGTGGCGAACTGCGCTCTTGCCCTGCTCAGATTGTCCCGCAGGGTCGACACCTCCCGGGACAGGTGGTGCATTTCCTTTTCCGGCATTTCCAACTGCGACGGGAGCAAGGGCACATGGCACGGGCACGTTAGCTCCTCCCAGCGTAAATCCTGCCTTCAATCGCATCGTGACATGCCATTCGCCATCGGATGGTGGAGACAACACCATGGCACATGGCAAGTGAGGTGCCTAATACACAGGTAGACACACATAGGACAGATGGGCTGACACCCACACACCCAAGCAAAGGCAACACCACGATTCCCCGCACAGCCTAAACAGAGTGGTAGAATGCGCAGCAGCGCTGGCCTAGGAAACGCACCCACACCATCTTCATTTACATTCGCTCAGCCAATGAGAGTGACAAACGCTCCAAGACAACCAGCATTCATGGCCATGAGTACTTAAAAAAAATCAATAATTTCGTCAATGTTAATACAATATTTGAACCTTATGGGGTCCCATAAGCCCCCGGCTCTCGCATAAACTGCAGTTGCGACGTCATTTTGTCTGTTGAAGGCGAATGAAACGGCAATCTATCCCTCTCGACGAGCTCTACACGATGCGCTAATCAAAGTTTCAAAGTTTGGTTTCTTCTGCGCATTCGTCCTCGCTGCGCTTGGACGGCATGACAACAGAATGATCCGCGCCAGGTAGGTCGCGTCGTTTATGTGCGCGGTGTGACGGAGTCACCAAAAATTTATTCATTACGATTTTGACTTACGTTTATTCGGGACCTCGGGGTCCCGCCATAAGGTTAATTTGATATTCAGTTTTATCACAGTACGCTCTGAGCCACACAGCGCTCGCCAATTTTTAAAAGACAAACTCGTCCGCCGACGTGTTTGCTCCTCCTTGGTCTCTCTGCCTTAGCCCCAAAATGTCTGGGAATGTCAACATGCCAGTGATAAGGCCGGTCGAGGTGAGTGAGCATATGGCGGTTACACTGGTGAGTACAGTACATAATACTTCCTGATGCTATTATTAAAAAAAAAATTCGTTTTGATGGAATGTTTACCATCTGTTTTATTACTCTTATAAAATAGCGCTGATACTCCAATGAAGCCCTCATTTATTGTTCATAAGAGATAACGCTGTCGAGAAGTCATCCCCATATATAATGGTATAACCCTTTTCGCGCTGATTTCCTGAATGCTCACTTCTCCACATAGGCATCTTGAGCGCTAAGCGAGACTGCCTGTATTCATTTCAGCCTAAGTCGACATAGGGGAGTCCCAACACTGGCTCAGATATCCCTCGCCACTGGTGTTAGCAGGTATTTGTGGTTCATGCGGACTTGCTGCCTTGTAAAAGGTGTCAATCTGGTGTTGGGGCAAAGCTTTTTTTTATCATTCCATACACGTTTGCATTTTAGCTGGTAAGTGGCAGAGTGGTGGCCTCCACTCCAGCCTAGATTTGTGTCTGTCCCCTACCTCTCTTACCGAGTACAACTCCTCTGACATCAAAACACAAGGGGCCGTCCATAAATGACGTCACGCGATTTTGGACCCCTCCCCCTTTGTCACACGGTGTCACAAAAAGTCAGACCCCCCCCAAAAAAAAACATGCTTCAAATCGCTTTAGTTCACAGTTCCATTTATTTGGTATAGCCCTGTGAGCCATTCAGCTCTTGAATCGGGTGCACCCGCAACAAACAAAAACATGAACAAGAAAACATCTTAAACTATTGTCATTGTAGTGCGTATTAATGTGGTGCTGCACTCTGATGTTGTAGAACATTTATTAAAAAGTCTATTTAATTAAGTAGAACGTGTTGTCTATTTTTATTTAAAATTGCGCATTTTGATGTGACATCACATTTCTCAAACCCCCCCCCCCGTCACACATCGTCACAAATGTCTGCCCCCCCCCCAAGTGCGTGACGTCATTTATGGACGGCCCCCAAGAGGTGGCACTACGCACCTACTACTGTTGACACATTCATTGTCTCATGTGTTGCTTTCTCAACTGTGGTCTGTTGAAGAATATCATGTATATTCTTGCCGACGCAGATAAAGAAACACAGGTGCTCAGATCGCTGGCTTTGCCCGAATTACAGGCCACCACGCAGCGATAAGGAGCCCGCAGCGCTGACGTAATCAAATGCAGCGATGACGTCATCAGATGCAGCGATTACGCCATCGACTACAGCGATGACGACATCGATTAGTGATGACGTCATCAATTACAGTGACGACGTCAATTTCAGTGAAGAAGGCATCGAATACAGTGATGACGTCATCAATGGCAGTGATTACGTCACTGGCTTTACCCAAAAAGGGCGGAGCCAATGGCTCGGGCCTTATTGCGTCACCAAACGTCACGTGACCCCCAGGCACAGCTGCTGGGAAATGGCAGTTGACACGAGATGCTATCACCTTGGCAACGCAAACAAGGACCAACTGCCCAGAGAAAGCTTTCTCCGACTAAAATCCTTGATGAAACTCTCAATCTGTGATCTTAAACTATGAACCTCGTTACCCACGCATCAAGCGCTCAATTTAAAGTAAAATTTAAATATTTTAAAAAATAATATTTTTTCTCGATGTGATCACAGTACTATATTTGTTACTTCGTATAACTCCAACGCAAGAGGTGGCGCCACTCACCTCCACTGTTGACGAATTTGGAGTCTCCAGCGTCGCTTGCATCTGCTGCCGTCTCTTGAAGAACTTCATGGCTCCTGTTGGGGGCGCAAGAGACAAACGCAGCCGCTCAGCTCGCTCGCCCTGCCGGAGTGACGTAACGCCATTGGGGTCGGAGGTGAGGCGCAGGAAGTGACGCAATTGGCCCCGCCTACCATGGGCGGAGCCAGATCACGTGCCCCCAGGCACCCTATGGGGGCAGAGGAAGCTGCCTCCGTATCAGCCAGGGCTCAAAGTTCTCGACGCGGCTTTTGCGTCTGCGATTTGAAACTCGGAACCTCTTCACCCACGTGTCGAGAGTTCAATGTTTGAATGCAATTTAATCGAGGCCACTGTCTTGGTATGGTCCTTTGACTGTTGGTGTTTTGCCATCTTGCCCAAGCTTGGATTTGATGTTGACAAATCTACAAGAAGGTATGAGCTTGCACAGTTTGATTTTACATGACATTTATTCGTGACTTGACTACATTTTCTCAATCCTTACTCGAGTATCTTTAATTGCA